AAATAAATAAATAAAATCTTTAAAAAAAAAAAAAAAGAAAAATCTTAAAAAAGAAAGAACACATCTGAAAGGGTCACTTACACATAACTAATGTTACCTTTCAAAATTAACTCTGAAAATGCTTGGTCATTCTATACTGTTATAACACGGAACAATAGTTTTAGAGGCTTTTTTCCCCCAAAATGGAAGACACTGTGCATAGATATATATTCCCTGTGCCAAAAGTTAAATAATGGCTCAAAGAATCTCCCTCAAATCTTTCTCTTCTAGCAAGACGTGAACCTAACCATCTGAGTAAGATAGTCACATTATATGTCCCCATCACATCTGTAGGTCTTCAAAGCCCTTTCACATACATGAAATACAATGGCCCAGAGAGCCAGGTATGGTAGATGTTATCAGTATCCTCCTTTTAGCTGGGGCACCTGGGTAGCTCAGTCAGTTAAGTGTCTGCCTTCAGCTCAGGTCATGATCCCAGGTCCGGGGACTGAGCCCCAAGTCAGGCTCCTTCCTCAGCAGGGAGCCTGCTTGTCCTTCTGTCCCTCTCCCAACTTGTACTCTCTCTCCTTCTCTGCCCCCTCTCTCAAAAAAATAAATAAAATCTTAAAAAAAATAAAAGTATCCTCCTTTTAGGAAAGAGGATCCACAAAGTTACTTACACTGGTACAAGAGCCAGAACCCAGACCACATAAGCAGTACTGCCATGGTTTTACAACCTCCTGTGTTGACTGCTCTTACTTCTTGCCCTCCTGTATGCATTTAAGTCTCTGTACAGAGCTTTTAATATGCTCTTTCCTTACTTCAAATTGGTCCAAAAGGTTAACAAAATTATAGTGCTAAAACCTAAATCTTCTTAGCAATAATTTTCAAACATTACTTCTAAAGAGTCAAAGGCTTCTGGTTAAGGAGCAAAATGAGAAAAAAAGAACTTCTACTTTAAGGAAAGCTAATGACATAAAACCAGTGGATCAATCACCCACTATCACCCTTAAGTTGACCTTTTAAAATTACTACCAAAATAAATAAATAAATAAAAGTACTACCAAGAACTAATATCTTCATTAGTTAAGAACTCCTGATCTAATAAGAAAATACTATACTAGGAATCTCTTCTGGATTTTTAACTGAGAATGACACAGAGAAGTAACATTTCTGGCCTTCTCCTAAGGTGCTCCTTCAGTGATTTTTTTTCTACCCCTTTCTCCTAGGAGGGGTCACACTCACACTCTGACTCTCACACTTCTCTTTTTTTTTTAATTAATTTATTAATTTGAGAGACAGCACAGCAGGGAGAGACAGAGGGAGATAGAGAGTCTTAAGCAGACTCCGGGCTGAGCCAACGTGGGGCTCTATCTCACAGCCCCAAGATCACAACCTAGGCCGAAACCAAGAGTCAGACGCTTAACCAACTGCGCCACCCAGGCTCCCCTTGACTCTCACACTTCTGTAATGTCATTTTGTTACCTATATATGAAACTCAAGACTACTCGTGGAGTTGGCACTTCCCATCCTCAAAGTTCAATCAACAGTCCTATGTATGCCAACCTTACTTAACATAGAAAGAACCCTAATAGGATCCAAGTACCCACTCATTTTCTCTGTATAACCACCTGTACTGACCTGTGCAATTCTGTATTAATTTTTTGCATATCAAACTCTATCTCTAAGGCTTGCCCAGAGTTAAAGGTTTTACTTGATCGCATTATTTATTCTGGGCCATGTGGCAAAGTTGAACAAGTAAGGGCCATGGAGTCAAACGTTAGGGTTCAAACCATGGCTCCATCACCTTCCAGCTATGATCCCCAGTTTCCTCATCTGAAAAATGCTTTTACATGACACATGTGAAAACATGGCACTCTTGGAGCATTCTTTTTTTTTTTTTTTAAGATTTTATTTATTTATTTGAGAGAGAGAGAATGAGAGAGAGCAAGCACATGAGAGGGGAGAGGGTCAGAGGGAGAAGCAGACTCCCTGCCGAGCAGGGAGCCCGATGCGGGACTCAATCCAGGGACTCCAGGATCATGACCTGAGCCGAAGGTAGTCGCTTAACCAACTGAGCCACCCAGGCGCCCCTCTTGGAGCATTCTTGTCAGAATTAGAGTTAATGTACTTAGTGATGCACTTAGACGCCAGGCACATGGTAGAAATTCAATACATGGTGGCGCACCTGGGTGGTTCAGTCATTAAGTGTCTGCCTTCAGCTCAGGT